ATATGTGTGTATGTGCACTCAGTCACTCAGGAAAGTCTGACTCTTTGTGACCTTACAGACCATAGCCCTCCAGGCTCCTCTGTCTGTGGAATTTTCCAGGCAAGAATTCTGGCATGGGTTGCCATTTCCTCATCCAGGGGACCTTCCCAACCCAGGGATGGAACATGCATCTCTTGCATCTCCTGCACTGGCTGGCAGATTCTTTACCACTGAGCCACCTGGGGCTAGGAAGCCCTGGCCATACATGTATCTATTCTCCTCCAAACAGACATTATTAATTTCCACTCTGAAATTAATAATGCTAATACAATCCCTAGGTTCTCAACAGATGGTAATAATAACAACTGTAATAATAGTGACAGGTTTAGGCAGGTCTGGACACACAGCATCTCAGCAGTCAACTCACCCTCTGTGTGACCTGGGCAAGCCTCTCACCCTCTCTGATCCTCAGCCCCCTCCACTATAAATTGACATTAAGAACATTCTTGTTGTGAGGCCTCATGATGAAGTGAGGAAAGTACCTGACTCAGAGCCAGGCAATGAGAACGGATGGATGAATGTCCCTTTCCCCCACCCTCTCCAGTTCTTTCCAGAAACCTGAGCCTTCATCCAGTGCATTGGCCACATTTGCCTCACGACCCTGGTTCAGGGCAGGTCGGCAGCCAGCAGGTCGCACAGCCTGGAGGCCCTGCCAGCTGGCACCTCCACGCCACACTGGATTTCCCTCTCTGCCTTGCCTCAAAAAGTCTGTGGAGCTCACCTCTCCAGGCTCTCCCTTTACAAAGAGGGAAACTGAAACCCAGAGATGGTGCGTGACCTCCCTGAGACCACACAGCAAGTCCCAGAATCTTTGTCCTGAAGAGCTGACATCTCTCTGCTAAAGAGACAGGTCTCCTCCCTTCCCTGCTTCTTTGTCCTTCTACTTCTTGTTCACTTCATCTTTTATTTGTCTCATGATGAGTCTTATGATCCTGAATGTACCCATGCCCGCCCTCCCCCCACCCTCCCGCGGGGACCCCTGGGCTCGGGAAGTGATGAATTTCCCGGGAATCTATCCTGCGATGACTTGGCCCATTTAGCCTGGGACCAGCTACTGCGGTTGACTCTGGGATGTCACAGCCCTCTCAGGGCTTTGTGTGAACTAGATCTGAGTCATCTCCTAGACAAGAAAACAGGCCCTGCTGTTCAGAAACATAAAAGATGTCAGCAAAGAAAGGCATGTAGGCCCTGGCCGCCCAGCACAGCCACATCCCCCAGCCTGGGCCACAAGCCCCCCCCGCCGCATGCTGCCTGAGTCCTTTCCCTCTCACATAGGGTTCTCCTCCAGCCTCTGCTCAGAGGTCGTGTGCCCTCATTGCTCAGGAGGCCCGCAGACCTCCAGCTCCCTACCACCTGTTAGAAAGGCAGAATCCCGCAGTTGAATCCAGATTTTGGTGAGGTTGACCAGCTGATCCCTAAGCCCAAGTGTGACAAGCACTGATGTCTCTCAGGAGTGGCCCAGCCTCATTCTTGGAGCTTTTTCTCTGGTCCCTAGGTTGGGCGGTGGTCTGTCTGGAGAAAGTGTTAGTCCTCAGTTGTTATCGACTCTGTGTGATCCCATGGATTGTCTCCTCTGTCCATGGGATTCTCCCAGGCAAGAATACTGGAGTGGGTTTCCGTTCCCTTCTCCAGAGGATCTTCCCAACTCAGGGATCACACCCAGGTCTCCTGCATTTCAGGCAGACTCTTTACCGCCTGAGCCACCATTCCCAACAAAACCTCAGTAATGGAGGGGCTGATGGTGATGGACCCACCCTGTCTCCAGTGCTGTGACTATGGACAGGTCTCCTCACTTTTAAAAAAAATTTACTTATTTGGCTGCATCACGTCTTAGTTGCAGCACGCAGGATTTTTGTTGCATCATCCAGGATCTATCCTTGCAGAGCATGGTCTCTCTAGTTGACACACACTGGCTTATTTGTGCCATAGTGTGTGAGATCTCAGCTCCCCAACCAGGGATCGAACCCACTTCCCCTGCATTGCAAGGTGGATTCTTAACCACTGGACCACCAGGGAAGTCTCTCATCTCACTTCTGGAAGACTCGGCTTCTCTTCTGCAAAGTGGCCACAAGGGCGAACAAGTCAAAGGTCCCGCTTGATGTCTGGGGAAGCAACTAGAAGCAGAAGCAGGACATGGGAGGGTGTTAGCTACCTGGAGGTTCCTTCCTGGGCACAGAGGAAGAGACGAAGGCTGCTGAAGAGCTGTCCAAGGCGGGCCCGAGATGGCCATGAGCTGCTGCCCAGACGGCACCTGGGACAGCTTGCCCCAAGCACCCCCCAACCCCGTCCTCCCCAGGGACAGCCGAGGGAAGGAAAGGTGGCCCCTCTGTGTGGCCAGTGACTGAGGCTCTCTATTTGGCCACCGTGGGAGAGGAGGCAAGAATAGAAGCAAGAGGGGTGGCCTGGGCACATGTGCAGGGCTGAGGCACTCTCAGGGTCGCCCCCTGCAGCTCGCCTGGGGGGCTGGCAGAGGCTGGGAGCAGGAGGCTCTTCCACATAACGTGGTGTGACCAGCAGGCACTGGAGCCAGCCCGCTGGCTTTGAGGGCTGGCCTTGCCACGAACTAACTGTGTGAGTGTCCTAATTATCAAATGCCGCTTAGCAAGTCACCCCAAAACCAAGGGCTCCAGACAATGTCAATGTTTATGTCACCCACGCATCTGCAATCTGGGCAGGGCTCGGACAGGGACAGCTGGGTGGCTGAGGCACCTAGCAGGCCTGGGGTTGGAATCACAGGATGAATTCACCCACCTGTCATGAGGCTGGGGCTCCTTGGGCACAACTCCATAACTCAGGGTGGTCTCCCCAGCATGGTGGTTTCAGGGTGACTCAAGGATCCTGGAACACTGGCTCCATCGAGAGGTCAGACACCACACAGCCTGGCTCATATTCAAGGTGAAGGGAATCAGATGGCATGTTTTCTTTCTTTTAAAAATTTGATTTATGTTTGGCTGAGTTGGATCTTCTTCATTCCTGCATCCCAAGTGGGCTTTCTCTAGTTGTGATGAGCAGAGGCTACTCCCTAGTTGCGGTGCACGGATTTCTCCTTGTGGTGGCTTCTCTCGTTGCAGAGCATGGGCTCTGGGCACTCAGGCTTCAGCAGTTGTGGCGCCTGGGCTTAGCTGCTCTGCAGTATGTGGGATCTTCCCAGACTAGGGATCAAACCCATGTCTGCTGCATTGGCAGGCAGATTCTTAATCGCTAGACTACAGGGAAGTCCTAGGCTCCATCTTTTCTGAGAGGAGTGTCAAGGAATCTGCAAATATTTTAAAATCATCAGCATCACCTTGAGTAAATTACTCCATTTCTTGATAGTTCAGTGTTTTCAACTGCAAAATTCAGTTAAACATAGCCCTCGCTCATACCTGTATTGGTTTTCTACAGCTGCTATAACAAAACCAAAGACTGTGTGGTTTAAAATAATGCAAATTTATCATCTCACAGTTCTGTGGTTCAGAAGCCCAATGGGGGTTTCATTCTTCTGAGACTGAAGTGTCCATAGGGCTGTTTTCATTTCTGGAGCCTCCGATGTATGTTAGCTGCTAGTCATGTCCGACCTTTTGTGACCCCATAGATTGTAGCCCACCAGGCTCCTCTGTTCATGGAATTCTCCTGGCAAGAATACTGGAGTGGGTAGCCATTCCCTTCTCCAGGGAATCTTCCAACCCAGGGCTCGAACCCAGGTCTCCCACATTGCAGGCAGATTTGTTACCCTGTGAGCCACCAGGGAAACCCCGGAGGAGGCTCTGGTGGAGGATTCATTTTCTTGTCTTTTCCAGCTCCTGGCTTCTTGTGTTCCTGACTCTTGGCCCCTTCCTCTACCTCCACAGCCAGAGACAGCCCATCAAGTTCTTAAGTCATATCTCTTTGACCTTCACATATAAGGACCTTGGGATTATGCTGGGCCCCTCTGGATCATCCAAAAACTCTCCCTAAAAAAACAAACAAAAAAAAACAAAAAAAACACCTCTCCCTAGTTTTATTTTTGGTTGCTCTGGGTCTTTGTTGCTGCGTTTGGGCTTTCTCTAGTTGCAGAAAGCAGGGGTTACTCTCTAGTTGTAATGCATGGGCTTCTCACTTTTGTGGCTTCTCTAGTTGCAGAGCACCGGCTCTAGGTGAGCAGGCTTCAGTAGTTGCAGAACATGGGCTTAGTTGTCCTGAGGCATATGGGATCTTAGTTCCTGGACTAGGGATCAAACCCGTGTCCCCTGCATTTGGCAGTTGAATTCTTAACCACTGGACTACCAGGCAAGTCTCAGAAACTCCCCCTCTTTTAAGGTCATCGATTAGCAACCTGAAGTTCATCTGCAACTTTAATTTCCCTTTGCCATATAACATGTTTACAGGTCCTGGGGATTAGGAAGTGGGCATTTCTGGGAGGTTATTATTCCACCTGCAACAGGAGGGTTGTTGAAAGGATTAAATAACATAATGTATGTGATGAACATCAGTGAGTGCCTGGCTCATGGGACCATTGGCATTGCTATTATTCAAAGTAAACTATTAGTCGCTCAGTTGTGTTCTACTCTTTGTGACCCCACGGACTGTAGCCTGCCAGGCTCCTCTGTCCATGGGATTCTCCAGGCAAGAACAGCAGAGTGGGTTGTCATTCTCTTCTCCAGGGGATCTTCCCAACCCAGGGATCAAACCCAGTCTCCTACATTAGCAGGCAGGTTCTTTACCGTCTGAACCACCAGGGAAACCCCCAAGGCAACCACCAAAGAAGCTGGGATAGGCCTTCGGGCGGAACTAAACTGTTGAAGGTGATGAAGGGCCTGCTTCAGTGTCTTTTTCTCCTTGATATATATGTCCCAAGCCCAGGGAGGGACGGTGGTTTGCTCAGGCTCACAGCAAGTCCAGGAGGCGCTGCTCCAGGCCTGCCCCCTTGATGGCACTGAGTTGTCCCAGACCCACCTGGAAGGGCCCTGGGTGACGTGTGGGGCCCGTGTCTTCATGGCCAGATCCTGCAGGTGCTGAAGGGCAAGCTGATGGTGGGCCACGACCTGAAGCACGACTTCAAGGCGCTGAAGGAGAACATGAGCAACTACGCCATCTACGACACGGCCGCCGACCGGCTGCTGTGGCGCGAGGCGGGCCTGCAGTATTGCCGGCGGGTCTCCCTGCGCGTGCTGAGCCAGCGCCTCCTCGGGCGGCGCATCCAGGTGAGGGCCGCCCCGTTACCTGGCGGGGTGGGCGTGGGGTGGGGGGCTGGCCGTCCCTGCAGGACTCTAAAGTCCCCCCGTGCCTCCAGAGCACATATGTGGCCCCAGAGATGCTCTGCTCACACCAACTCCCCCACGTGGTCCTGAGAGGCTGTGTGCTGAGAGGCGCGGGCTTTCCCGGGAAGGAGGGTGGGCACCGCGTCCATCTGAGAGCTGACCCGGGAAACCTGTAGGGTGAGGACGAGGGCCAGGGAAGGGAAGACAGCCCATCAAGGTGATTTAGTTTGTTTTCAGTCAGGCCAGTTTCCTTGTGGGTAACTGAGGCTTCACCCTCCAGCCCACCTCTGGGGAGACTGCGTAGAGCACAGACCTCGGGTGTCCCCAGGGAACCGCATCATTTACACACAGCGCCCATCAGGCTGCAGCTGATGCTGCTCTCGGGGCCCTAACTCCGAGCCCCAGGCAGGGGCAGGCCTATTCTGGGAGCTCACCAGGGTGGAAGGGCCCAGGGAGGCGGGCTGGACACTAGGAGCTGTGGCCGCTTGAGCTCAGCGGATGTTTAAGAAGCACCTGCTCAGGGCCAGGCTGGACCAGAGGCTGAGGACCAGGGTGAGCAAAGTCCTGCTGGTCCTTGAGAAACTCTTGGTTGAAGGGAAGGAGGCCCATGACCTGTCCATCAATGCATCTGAGCAGGGAGGGCAGGTGTCCTGAGCAGGGACGGAGGACAGGGGCAGGCAGGACAACAAGTCTGAGTGGAGGGTGCAGGGTGTGTCTTGGTGCAGGAGGCAGGAGAGGGAGGCCTAAGGAGGGGAGAGCCCCAGCCCCAGTCTGAGGAGTGGCGGGGAGCAGCTTGTCTGGGGAGCAGGAATGTGCAGGAGGCAGGGGATAGGCTTGAGTTTGGGCCTCTCTGCAGGGTTTATGGCACCAGGGACCCAGGACAGAGTTTCAGCTCCTGGATTCACTGAAGAGTCCTGTTCTCAATGTACTGAGCAAGGAGCACTCTGTAAACATCTATGTCTATGTTCCCTGGGCCCTGGGCTCCCTGTGAGAACTGCTTGAACCCAGGCCTGCTCCAGCCACCAGCTGAATCTGTTCTATCAGAGGCTTTGGAGACTCACCCCTGACCTACTTCAGCCCTGGACTCAGGGTGTGAGCAGAGAAGGCCCAAGTCCCATGGTGCCTGGATTCAGCCCCCAGTCCCTTCTCTGTCCGGTGTCTGCAGGACAGCGTGCTGGGACACAACTCGGTGGAAGACGCCAGGGCAGCCATGGAGCTCTACCGCATCTCCAGGAGAATTCGAGATCAGTGAGGGTTGCACGCCTGGTGGAGTCCAGCCCCTCCCCAAGGACTAGAGGCCTTTTGTCTCTTCAGAACAAAAACTCTTTTGCTTTTGTAAAATGCATTTTTAGCAATAAAATAGCTCTCTATTTTCTCTACTCCCTTGGATTCTCCTCTTTTTCTTTCTTCTCACTGAGCCGGGTGTTGGTGGATCCCACCCAACACTTGAAAGGGCAGCCAACATGAACTGGGATGGGGGCTCAAGTGTTCCCATCACTTAAAGGATGTCAATGTTAAGGAGTGTCAGTTTCCTTAATGTCTTGAATCTGCGAGTCTGAGAAGTCCATGTGACAATTAATACAATTAATTATCTCCACCTGCCTTTCTAGCTGCATTTATGCCCAGAAGGGGGAACTCTTTCCTGAGGATGACACCCAGCTCCAATGTTGTGCAGTAGAATCATCTGCAGAATTGTTATTTTAATCTCTAACTGGGTCCCTCTTCAGCTTCACTGAACCAGAATCCCTGGATATGGAGGTTGGGGTGGGAGAGGCACCTGTTAGTATTTTGACCTCCAGAGGTGATTCTGATGCGTAAGACATTCAAGTCACATAAGGTACCTTTTAATCACCCTGGTACTTGAGCATCACTGAGGGGCTGCTGGGCCCCGTTCCAGAGTTTCTGATTCAGCAGGGCTGGGTGGGGGAAACCCAGGAATCTGCATTCCTGACAGGTACCCCCTTGACATCTTGTGCTGATCCAGGGACCATGCTTTGAGAAGCACTTCCCGCATCAGGAGACTGTGCTGTGCAGCCAAGGATGAGCCATTGGCCTAAGGGCTGAGCACCACCAGGGGGAATATGGTCACTGGTCCAGCCTCACGCCCTCCAAGTCCCTTGGCTGCCTGTTCATGCAGAGAGGGCACAGCCCTGGTGGATGTGCCCTCAATGGCCCACTGCAGGGATGAGGGGCTCCAGGTGAGGTTAAAGCCAAAGGGATTCAAATCCAGGCCCATCCGACTCTGAACTCCAGGGCTTTACACTCAGACTGTGTTACAATGGCAGCCTCCCATTTGTACCACTGACATCTGAAAGCCTGGTTAGGGAAGGGGAGGGGGAAGTGCAGCTCAGTCTCTCTGGATTCTCCCCTACCTTGTCTCCCACGTTTTGGAGTCCAGACCTCTGCTGATACTTAACTTTGGAACATGTTGGGTGCAGCTGCTTGTCTGGCTGTGACTGGCCACCAGGTGGAGCCCTTGGACCATTTCTCTGACTTGCAGGTAGAACCAGCCTGAGGGACACTCTGGCAGGAGGTGTGAGGGGCTGGGTCTTTAACATGGAGGAGGGCAGCTCCAGGGACCCTCTAGATGCCCTCATCAGCTGCTGAGCTGAGGCTCAGAGCAGCCAGGGCAGTGGTGCTGCGTGGCGTGGAAGGTGACCCCCAGGCTTCCTGACTCCCAGTCCTTCCAAGACTTCAGGCTTCCTTGAAAGAAGATGAGCCAGGGTTCCCAGAGGAAAAGCTTTCCCAAAGGAAATCTCTAACCTGATATCCTGCTTCTGACTCTGGGGCTAGGATGCCCCAGTTTAGTTCAGTTCAGTCACTCAGTCGTGTCCGACTCTTTGCGACCCCATGAATTGCAGCACGCCAGGCCTCCCTGTCCATCACCAGCTCCCGGAGTTTACTCAAACTCATGCCCATTGAGTCGGTGATGCCATCCAACCATCTCATCCTCTGTCATCCCCTTCTCGTACTGCCCTCAATCTTTCCCAGCATCAGGGTCTTCTCAAATGAGTCAGCTCTTCACATCAGGTGGCCAAAGTATTGGAGTTTCAGCATCAGTACTTCCAGTGAACACCCAGGACTGATCTCCTTTAGGATGGACTGGTTGGATCTCCTTGCAGTCCAAGGGACTCTCAAGAGTCTTCTC